AACCCGGCTTGCTCTTCACGGATCTGGCTTTCACGAGCGCCAGTCAGTCTGTGAAGGATTATGGAGGCGATGGAGATCAGACTGATTCCTCTATGGTTGCCGCATTCCGAATGCGAGCCTCCTTTGAAGATGGGAACAATAACGGAGCGGCTCCAGTCGGTTGGGACAGTCTCCTGCTACCACAGTTTCAGTAGTAATTCATGTAAAGCATCAACAAGAGAAGAGTTTCCGAATTTGAAAAGGGCTGGAGGAAGATCATCTGGTCCCGCGGCTTTGTTCAACTTCAACAGTTCGATCTCACGTTTGACTACTGAGCGAGAGGGTGGATCCAAAGGGACAGCTCACGGAGCAGGGCGAGCAATGGTCGGCGAAGAATCGAATAATTCTAGCCGATTAAATTGCTTTTCAAATAGCTCAGCCCAACGCTCCAAACGTTTTGACAAATTTTCAATAGGCTGTCCACTCTCGTCACGTAGTTTCACTAATACCATGTCTCCTGCTGCCCGTATCCCCTATCAGAAGGAATAACTTACGATGGTTACCAAGGGCAACGGCCACTTTCATCTCTGACGCACGATGAGACCACCAAGATTCGCGGTCTCTCTTCAGGCTAGCACGGAGTCCTGCCCGGAGCTCTTTGCGAGTTTCATTGTGTTCGCTTCCAGCAGGTATATGCCGGCGAGCGTTGATAAGTTCCAGAGACCGCGAAATGACCCAATATCCATGTTGGCTATTAGACATATCACATGAGGATTCGCCTGCTGATAGTAAGGTCTGGTGAACATGTGACCAGTGACCTTCAGTTGTCTCCAGTGAGCGCTTACTCAACTCGCATATCAGCGTACTTCGATACGCATTTAGAACAGCTGGCTTTGTCAGTTGGCTGGTGTCAATGCGCTCACAACGTCGTCGTGGGCGTCCGCCAAAACGCATCCGCAGGTCAGCACACACAAGTGCATGGTCGGTGTCCACACCTGTGCTCCAAATCGAGCAACAGTTCTGGATGCAGCCTCTCCAGCGGTAACTGATAGCAATGTGATCGATCTGCGCCCAAGGCTGGTGGGCGCCAAGTCACCCTCCGGCGGGTGCTGTGTCGGAAGTTAGTGCTCGCAAGAAATAAGCGAGCATCTTCACACAAATGAAGTAACCGCTCACCGTTATCATTTCGAGAGCCTACACCGTGCTGACCGCCCAGAGGTATTTCGTCAGTGGACAACTTTCCAACTTGTGCGTTCAGATCCCCAGCCAACACAACAGTGTCCGTGCTTCTTCTGTGGCGAAGGAGCTGGGTCAGTTGGTGGTAGAAAAAGTTCTTTACCGAATCATCGCTACAATTTGTGGGTGCGTGGGCAGCGATGATAAATAGACACCAATTAGTCCCGCGCGACTTCGAAGCTTTGAACGAGCCAGCCAATCGGACCGCATACATCCGGCTACTGATTGGAATCTAATCAATCAGAGCAGCTTCAGACCGGGGACTCAAGGCAATGCCAACACCAGCTTGGCCGGAGCTCGAAGCTGCATCGTCACCGGATAGGCGCAATGAGAAAACACTGCTTGCGTCACCTGAAGGGGATCGCAAAGTGGGCACAGAGCTCGATTCTTGCAGGCGGGTCTCCGATAAGAGGCAGATATCGATCGAGAGGATCTCTAATGTTCGGGCAAGTGCTGCCTGTTGACCGATCTGTAGTAATGTGCATACATTGAGACATGAGAATCTGAAGGATGATGGAGGGCTCCAAATGGAGGCCGATGAACTGGAATGGACCGTTTGGTTGGACATGGGCTTGTCGACAGGAGAGGAGTGAGGCTCCGCGTTCACATGTGAGTTGAAATTAGAAGATAAATGTCTAACAAAGCACGTTGGGGGAGGGCCAAGAATCGGGGGGTTGAAAACTGGCAGGATAAAAGTGAAGTTGGAACGGGACGGTAAGAATGAAAAAGCGTAAGACGGGGAATAAGAAGGCGGGAAGGCTTGAGCAGTAGCATCCAAACTCCTATCCACCCTGCTCGATGCAGCAGATAGGGCACCGTTGATTATCCTCTGCAGTGGCCAGAGCATGAAGAAATTGTTTGAGGAAGGATTCACTGTATTGCGTGAGCAGGATACTCTCAGCTTGCTCAGACCTAGACAGGAGAACGATCAAGGTTCTCAACTAAAGCCTTTGGTTCAAAAACCTGACCGCAAGGCAGCGGGTTTGGCGTTGGGCTACAAGGAGTCCGTTTTAAGGAATAAGGTGCCACCCTCATTCCAACCCCCAACTTGGAGGACCAGGAGGCTGAGTTTGTCTGGTTTCTAACCATTGGCCAATCTGGTATGAGTGACTGTAGGTGCAAAAGCACCACCCAGCATAGCTCAATGGATCGCTGAGGTACACAAACCATTGCACCACGGTAAGGTCCAGCCTCATTGCGATGGCGATATCGGAATAGAGAAATCAAATTGCAGAGGCGGGCTAAATATCGCTATGAGCTCAGAGTAACTCAGGATACAAAAAGAAACCCAAAGTTGTATTACAGTTATGTACAGTCAAAAGCATTTCTGAGGGAGGGGATTGGTAACCTGACTAAGGAGTATGGTAGTGAGGTTTTGGAAGATGCCGCTAAGGCGGTGTTACTGCGTGTCTTTCAGCGCTTGCACCGTGTGGACAGTGGCTATGCAATTCCCTCGCAGTCACCCATCTTATGTGACATTGAAATGCAAAACGTAATAACCGCATCAAAGGTCCTTGAGCTGCTGGTCGGTTTAAACCCCTTATAAATCGGCAGGCTCTGACAATGTTCATCCAGCGATTGTTAAACCGCTCGCCGATATTCTTCAGTATTCTATTTTGGACCGATTCAAATGTTCTCTTCGAAAAGGTAAGCTACCACATGACTAGAAAAAGGCGACTGTTGTGGCAATTCATAAGAGGGGCTCCAAGTGTGTGCCACTCAACAATGGGCCATTCAGTCTGACAAGTATTCTCGTTAAGTGCCTGGAGATGCTCATTAGGCACCAAATTTGTGAGCATTTAGTTGATAACAACTTGATCGGAGCAGAACAGCATAGCTTCGTTGGATAGAAGTCATGTCTTACGAATGTTGTGTTCCTTGGACGAAATAACTCGATGTCTGGATATCGGGATTCCAGTGGAGGTCTGCTATCTAGACTTCAGTAAAGCATTAGATTCGGTTAATCATGGTTTTTTACTAGAGAAGCTGACTTGCTTTGGGTTGTATCCCTAACTGATGACTTGGTTGTCGCATTTGCTCTGTGGCATACAGTTCATTGTTAGCATTGGTGAGGTCAGATCTAGCATAGGCAATACCCATAGCGGAGTCCCTCAGGGTTTAGTGCTAGGACCGTTGTTGTTTCTTATGTTCATAAATAATCTAGCTCCAATCCTTCAGAACCCTTGGTATGTTTTTACGGATGATATGATACTTGTCAGTAAGGGGATAGGGATAAGTTATCTAAAGACCTGGGCACTGTGGCAAAGTGGTCTGAATTCCGGGACCTGCCATTGGACGCAAACAAATGTCAGCTGTTATCATCTAGTAACGTTGGGATTACGGTGCAGACATCCATAGGGTCTGACATTGCAGTGCGTGGATAAGGCGAGGGACTTGGGCATCGTTATGGTAGATAGCTTCAGGCTTTCGGCGCAGTGTCAACATGCTGCTAAGAGAGCGCGGTAGGAACATTTTCGCTTCAGGAGAGCACTGTGTAATACTAGACCTAAGGTCTTTCTCCTTTATACAAAGCGGTGGTTCAGCCGCACTTAGAGTACTGTGTTCAGGCTTTGGTACGTTACTTTCGAAAAAATGTCACTTGCTTAGAGACGGTACCAAGACCGGCCACCAGAATGATTGAAGGCCAGTGTGAAACGTCGTGTGTTGATCGCCCGGAATGCTTAGGCGTGTTCTCATTGGAACGACGCAGACTAAGGGGAGACCTAATGGAAACGTTTAAGATTATGATGGGTCTCAGTGGCATTAAGCCTACCGATCTCCTTGAACTAGTTGCATCGGACCATTTGCGGGGACATCATCTGAAGCTCATGAAACAAAGGTACAGACTGGATATCCGGGAGAAATTTTTCACTAACCACGCAGTACGTAGTCGGAATTTATTTCCCTCGCACTAGTGGAATGTTATTCTATAGAAGCCTTTAAACGAGGCCTAGATATGATTTGGTCGACTCTGTTGCACTGATATTAGTGGATTCCAATTAGTAGCAAATGTCCCGTGGTCAATAGGATGTCATTAATAGATTCATGAACTTATGAGAGGTTTTACTCATTCTTTTTTTTGTTTCTGCAGAAGTGAAGAAGTTTGAACGTCGAAGTGCCGGGGGCCTTGGCTTGCTTACCGGCAAACGAAAAGGGACGCACATTAGGCGAAGATCTGTTTCGTCCTTGAAAACCGGACCTGACCTAACCGGACGGGATGCACATTCTTCTTGACAGTGGTCGCATCCAATGTGAAAAAGCGACGGTTTGGTCAGTACTCTGGGTACGGAAAATATACAGCTTTTCCAATATTCACATGTTTAGGAGTGTCCACCGACTACGAAGCAATCATGACTCCTATTACCATGTCTCGCAGTCTTATTCCTTCGATTAAGCATTGCAGATGGCATGTGTGGATACGGTAACGGGTGGTGCAGCGTAAACCGGCCATTGTCGCTCTGTGGGAGCGGGCGACCTGTAGTTGTTCGCAGCCGTATCGATAGACAGATCCAGAAACGCATATATAGTGAGGGTTGCCCGGTCCTTTAAGCAGGCTCGTATCCGCGATCACAAATTACAAGGCGGGCTTGTGATCTTCAAAGTTACGGGCTGGCAGAGTATGGAGTGCAGAAATATTCTGCTGAAGATGCACTGAAGGTGCACTGAGAACTACCACTAAAAGCCTTACAACCGGTGATTATGCTTCCTTGCAAATTAATTCTGGTCTCATCATTCACCTAGCAATGTCAAGGAATAAAAGTAAAAGTGCCAAAGAAAACACGTACCGACTTCGATTGGTGACTTTAGAGAGGCTGTAGTACAAGCCCAAGCGCCACTCGAGGAACTTGTAGTCGTCGCGTAACAGGTGGGCGCCCTCCAAATCGAGTTCAGTGCATTTTTCAGCAATCTGGAATGAAAGGCAATAGGGCATAATTATTTACACTGACTGGGGGTGAGTAGAATCAAGAAGAGAAGGGGAGTAAACAAAAACCCGCACTTTAGAGTGTCATACGAAGCTCAACAACGAATAGGAAGCGTGGGTATGAAGGAGGGTGTTAAGTTACTGAAATGGGTACCGAGAGCAGAGAGTTGGGTATCATTCAGGCGGGTTACCAATGGGGTCTACTAACCTGAACGAACGACTGAAGAATTCTCACAAAAACAATCAGAAGTCCATAGAGCGTAATGTCCCTAAAATGATCACAATGAATCTGTGATGGAAGCTCGATAATGCCCTAATGCCGGAGTAGGCCATAAGGGCTTCCCGTTCAACTAGTTATAGGAAATCGTAAGTTCGGATTATCATCGATCATCAATTGTTAGCAGAGAGAAAGCAAAAACTGCTTCATATCATAAGAAGTACGGGTCGAACTGCTTGGGTCGACTGCTGTCTCAATGGATGAGGAAGAGAATCGATTACCAGTTATCAAAAAGAAAAATGCGAAGAAATTTCTTTTCGATAAATCTCAGCAGGCAATTACAACTATGAGATTTATTATCATCGGTATAGAACCTACTGCCAGCGATGCGGCGATCTGTCTGTTGACCGGAGGAACGGTGGCAATCGATGTCAATTTTTAACACACTACCACTGACCACTCTGCATGAAGTCAGCTGACCAGGCTAGGGACACGGTAGAGTTGAACTTTGCACACGTACACGCTACTTAAACAGTTCCGACTTGAGTTGTTTCATCGTAATTGCTTCTGCAGTGGCCAATGTGCATTGCGGAGTCCCTTTGGGCAGCATTTTGATGTCACATACCATAATGAAGTCATTTCTCGTTTGTAACTCATGTCCACTGTCCACCAGCAGTACCAGGATGGAGTTGTGGACATTCCTGGTAGTCCCACGTTGTTATGAGACTGCAGTGTTCCGCTAACCGCTTCGACAGATGTATGGTCGTGAGTAGGAGGTACATGGTACCACAGGTGCACGGGAACCAGTAGAGAACAAAGGATTCGGACATGACCGAAATAGATGCTATACATACAGCACTACGGATGAGAGATCCCCGAATTAGCAGAAGAAATCTAACGGAACAGAGCGCTAGACTACTGCATCAAACAACGACAAGCGAAGAGTCACACGCGCGTACACTACGAGGTGAGAATCAGAGATCGATTTCTATGGTCATGTGCTCGTCGAACAATCCAAACTCAGACTAGCGGCTAGGAGATCGATCACACACTCACTGACGCTTCATACGCGCCACTCTGCTAAATACACGCGCACTGACGATGTCACCTCGAGTGGTGACGAAACGTTTGCAGTCAACCTGCCGAGCTCAGCGAACAATCAGACAACCAACTGAACAATCTGAGCTACCAACATTTGCTACTATATCGCAAGGATACTGTTATTAGTATTCTTGCTTCCATAATTCTGCTGCTAACACTAATGATGATGGGTATATTTTCTCGACTGTATGAGGTTCAGTGCTCATGAGACAGGCCAACTTGTAAGAACATGCACGGTTAGTTTTGTCAAATGAGATTCATGAGACCGTAGCAGAATAAAGACCACGAGATGGAAGCTTGAAGCTGAAACACACTGCAGAGTGAATAAGAATATGCGGAGCTGTGATTAATGATCAGATGCGGGCACGAGTAGGCTGGTATTTGGTCATCATCTGCGTCACATCAATCGACAAGTGGAAGACGCCAGTGAGAGAAAGCCTAGGACTTGGCACTCCATGCTGTTGGCATATTTTTATATCATCTATTAAACGTAAGGCTTCATTCTATATGTCTACAAAGTTCGTATTCTGTGTCAGAGCGGTTAGTAAATAACCCACTTGTTCGCCTTCTGTAACCTTGTGGGGCAGACATATGCTGTATCTCGTAAATACGTATAAGATAGGGTAACCCTTTAAGTAAGCGTTAAACGGTCGGTTATGATAGTGGATCTAGCTGGATGAAACACAAAAGTGGATAGCAGGTGACACGATAAAAGAGCGTGAAGGAGCCTATCAAACAGCTGAATGGGAGTAATGTGTGTCGTGTTCGAGGATGGGGTCACACCGTTTGCTAATACGAAAGTGAAGACCCCTATCGGATGTGACGAGGCACCATACAGGAGCTCTCGCCTAATAATAGGATTGTTGTATAACAACCTCAGCTATTGTCCAATTTTCTACATATGAAAAGAAAACTGGATATACAGCAATTCGAGGTGGAATCGAACCGAAGTTAGGATTTATCTAAGTAACGACAATAAGGACAAAGAAGTTCTTCAATCTTAACAGGCAGATGTGAGTGATATCGACTGATATTAAACAGTAAGCGGATTTCTGTCCTCAAATCGATATAGTGACAACGCTGCAGAGCCGAATGAGTGAAGTCAACAGCGCGATACATCTTGAATCCACCAGATACAAAACATTAATTAGCACCAGTATGGATATTCTACAAGACCACACAAAAATGTTGCCCCAAAATAATACTTTCTTTAAGCCAGTTGGGCTACTTCATCGTTCATTCGCGAAGTGGTGCAAACGGGTGGCGAAAAGATAGGGTCTTCAATGTTCCGGAAACCCAATGGAATCCTATGATGCGGAGTTACCAAAAGTAGCAGGGCGAAACGGTAGCGGCAAGCAAAAGAACACTCCACAGGTAATGAAAGCCGAAGAATCAAACTAAGAATATAAGAAAGCCGCATTTTAGTCGCCCACAAAATTGACGCAGGAGAATATATTCGGTGTGGAAAAACGTCCATTAGACTAGGGAAAGTTGTTGAAAGTTAATAAACCACCTTAAGTGAATGGGAAATCACATAGTGAATTTGGATCAATCTCCAAAGTTAGAGGCGTTCTGAATGGGGGTCAAGGACTTGTCCGGAAAGATAAGTGGTGACGAGGAACAAGAGTAAATATCAGAATAGTGAAGAGGACAAAAACAAAGCACCTTGCCAAAGACCTCCGTCAGGTAAACCAGAAAAGTCGTTCAAGGCAGTCAGGAAGCAAACTGTACCAACAAGCGATCTTTACACACTGGGCATGCTTCAAGTATACCTCTAAACGCGTCTTGGTACATCAGATTCATGAGAGAAGAGCACTTGCTCGATGTCCTTATCTCCGAGCCCCGTGATTAGTAACGGTGCTCATAAATCTTCCGAAAGCAACACCTAAGCTCCCCAAGACGACCTTGGAAATGAAAAGGCTGCGAGAATTCCCCTAGTGACATGGCGCTTTGTGCGTTATTAGTATGGATGTTTGTATTGTCTAAGGTCTTCCTTGGGGAACTGAAGATCACGGTAAACAACAACGACCCTGTGGTTCGCACTCTGGCGTGCGGTCGCATAGTTTTAACGCTCAGACTTATCATGCGCTTTTTAGTATCATTTCCATACACATTTTCAACTCGGGTTCACAAGCTCTATCCAAGGGATTAAGAATCCCAGCTTCATCTCCTTACAGCATTGTTTGACTCGCTAATGCATTCCTGGCAGTAGCCTCGCCAAAAGTCACGCGCAGTAAGACCTGTTCTTGGGCGCGGCCCCAACCCTTTACCATCATTCAAGAGTGCATTTCACAGATTTCCAAGCGAAGCTAAAGTTACTACAATCCGACATTGGGTGCAGCAGCTGCAGATCATTTTTGCAGCCACCAGCTTCCCACCCATACAGCAACTGCGCCCATGCGCGCACAAGTCTTAGACCACAACCGAACCTTGCAGTTATCGGATTGGTAAACATTCATCACCCAAAACGTTCTTCGGAAGGTTCACGCCTGACCTGGGAGTGTGGAGAATTAAACGTTGCAGCCAATCAGCACGCAACTACGAGGTTATCAACAGCGCGAATTTCGAACGCCTGCGATGGCGTAAAATCAAAAATGGCCAGCTTTTACTCTCGTACTCCGCATATTCTACATTTTCCTAAGCGTTTCTGAGTCATTTAGTTCTGTGTACGAGTTGAATAGCACCGATTTACATCAGTACTCGTTGTTTCTCATTGAATTCACAATACAGTTACCTTTGGGGGTATCAATAGTAAACATTTTATTAGCATCGACACCGACAACACCAGTCTACAACGGCTCCGATTAAACCTGGTCGCACCCAAAGGCAAAAACTGTGTATCCACTTCACAAACAGCGCAACACAAAACATATTAAAGATGGCAAGATAGTGCTCCCCAAGCACCTATCTCATTTCATTGCTAAATGATAAAGTTTGCCTCCTGGAATTACAAGTATCCGAAATGAAACAAACTTGGTACTGCATCGAAATTCTTGGATTACTTAGAATACATTTGCAAACCGTCGGAAAGCATCGAGTTAACCCGAATGAAAAAGGTGGGACAGCTTAGTGCATCCCTCGCAACAGAAGTAAAAGAACGAACGCGTAAAAGGAAAATGTTGTCATATTCTACATTCATGACAAATATAAGTTAAGCAAAGCTAAAACATCATTATTGAGCACGTGCAGTACGTTTGAGGTCGAAAGCAAATGTCTGTGCATTAGAAAAACGCCAAACAGTGCTGTCTGAGCATTCGCACATTTTTAGGCGAAGTATAGGCCGGTGAATTTATGCGTTGTCGATTAGCCATAACCCAACACACTGTTTAAACCTGATAGGACCACCCTAAAAAGGGCCCTAGTTGAGACTGCGCCACGAATAATCAAAGCAGAGATAGAATGGGCCTCGAAAGCTCATACGGCGACAAAGGAAGTGGTCACAAGAGCTGGAGAAATTAGCTGCGTTAGCGTGGATCTCAACTATGCGAACCTCGCGGTAGCAATATCGAGTGCTTTTATTGTCAGTACCATCAAAACACCCCAACCACAGCCACGGAATTTAAGAACCGCTAGAAGTGTTATGCCCAGAGATCGTCTGACCGAAACGTTAATGCGTATGACCCAGGACAAGTCTCTTACAATAGGAGAGAGCAGCTGGTAGGGGCCTGATTACAAGATCTGCAAACGGAAG